ATAGGAAAAAAACAAAAATGGGGTCGATACTTATGGAACACCCTTTATGTTATTGCGATCTAGAGCATAAAGACTGGACGAAATGACGAATTTCTCACCAGTATGTGTGCACATTTGCAAATGGTTTTCATTTCTCTAAGCAATGCGATTTTAAAAATTAAAGAAACGCTATGTTTTATTCAAACTACAGAAATTTCTGGAAATGTGGACTGAAATTCATGGTCTCAATTATTTTTATCAAGAGACTATCGAGTTCAACGCTCTAGAATAATCCTTCTTCATTGTTACAGTTGTTAGTTTTATTTACGCTGAGATAAACACTGTGTTCTGAAGTATGAAATTGCAACAAAAAGCATACAACATTATGAATGCTCCCATAGAAGAAGGATCGTACTTTTCAATGTACTTTGAACCAAATTACACCAGTACTGTTCAGTTAATTAGAGAATATATAGTGAGAACGCTATAAAAAAAAGCACGTTTTAAAGGGGCACAATTTACAGAAAGGACGGAGCGAACAACACCATTTTGCCATCTCCAGAATATTTCGCTTTTTTGTATTAGAATCTAGTCAACGAGACCTCTGTTGAAAATGCAAAGGTTTACTTTGCAACATGTCCCAATTAAATTTTGAATTTCTGACCATACTCTCCCACAGGGATGGCCCAATCTATTTTTGGCATTTCGGTGGAGAAAGGATATGTGCGGGTATGAGCCAAAGACTCGATTGAGAGATGTTGCGAAACAAACCTTTGCAATGTCATCAGGAGCCTCCGCTGACATACTTTTAATACAAAAATTCGAAAGATTTTAGGAGAGATAAAATATCCTTATTCACACTCATTCTTTGCATAAAAATTCGAGCCAATTTTGACTTAAAGTTCGTTGGAACATTGAGTAACTAGTGCGATTACGATAAAGTAACCAGAAAGTAGTATCTCAAGAGAATAATTGCTTATAATCCGAAATAAATAAACTTGTCATCATTTTTTGTTCTTTGCCGATGAACATATACATAGTTATCACATTGTTCTCAATACGAATGACTATTGACACTTATTCTTGGAAATTATAGAACGTATTTGGGCTGATTTCAAGAAGACTATAGTTCTGAAGAATGAGTCCTCACTCTCATTTTCTCTATTAAACGTTCTAATAAATATCAAATATATAGTAAAATCAAAAGAAATATAGAAAAAAGATTATTGAAACCTTCTGGATGAAAAACTCTCTCATGGATCAGGGTGTCATATGACATGAATTACTATTGTAGCACATCTAAGATTATCCGACGATATACTCTCAGACAAAGTGATTGCTCGAAAACTTTCTGAGATAACCTCCAAAAAATCTATCACAGTCTTTAAAACGGTCGAAACCGATAACATATACTGCCTTGTGATGAAGGACGAAAACGCTTGGTATACGAATCGGCTCTAAATGAAAATCACTTGCGCAGTACCTTCTTTCATAGAACTGATGCTTCTCTCTTCAACGGTACACTATTCTTGTCTCACAGGACAACTTGTGCGAACACGTTATAGTGTATTGAATAAGAGTGTTTACCATCCTTCTCCTATTAGATTTCTCTTAAACATATAAGCATGCGGCTCTTGTTATAACAAGTCAACCTCATTACAAAAGAATCATCTTTTTCAGGGTAGATAGAGCTCATCCAGAGAAAAAAATTCATAAAAATAACATGAATAATCGTGTGCTGTCCTCGATGTTTTCCAAAGACCACATTATTGAAACGTAATAATAAATACATAGGTTGAACACTTGTGTTTCGGTATTGTTCCTTGCGGAATAGAGCTGAGCTTATATGCATCTAATTGTTCAACGAATGCAATTATCATGGTATTTCTACAATGTGTTCTTGGATAAATACCGAGAATAGCGTATTTTTATTCATCTTCTCATGTTCTCGAAATCGCTAAAAATTTGTCGATTAATCGCGATATATCGAAACGACAATCATGCGCTATTACGCGATTAATCGCCGATTTTTTCCGATAATTTTGGCAGTTTCTGCGATTAATCGTGATTTTTTTGATCGATTATTATCCTTTTATTTTCTCCATTGCAGGCATGATTCGACTGATTTTATCTCACTTTTATGGATAGACTTAGCAATTTTTATTGATGATTCTAATTGATCAAAGTTTTTATTGTAAAAAACAGAATACGAACATGATATTACATTAACCACATATAGAAATTTAAAAAGTTGATATAATACGTTATTATTCACAATAAAGTCAAAGTACAATCGAGAACAAGCGAAAAGGTAAAGAGAAGTTCATATGTACAGAAGTATATTTTGAATAAGTAGTTTTCACGATCATTGATTGAGTAGTCGCGTTCTTATATGAAGTGTCCATCTAAAATACGCCATGGAAATTAGCTTTAAAAATGCGAATGATTGCAAAAGTGATAGTACAAGATCTAGACAAAAAAAGAAGGTCAATCTTTCTTAGCTCCATGTTTGTAAAAACTTGAGAACTTCGTCTGAAACTGGATTCAAGAAAGAACTCTAATTTACATAAAAGTCGATCAGAAAATATATCTAAAATACGTTATACATTGTGAAAAGTATTTCGAACTCGAACAGAATGAATAAATGTGAAATTATTTCAGTTCGACTCTACTGCGATTCAAATTCCTCCAATCAAATTCCTTTCATAGTAGTGACACGCTGACCAAAAAAGTCCAGTTTTTTACTTTGACTTTCAATGAGTATTTTGGAAAATTGAATAGAAAAGAAAATTTTATTAATGATTTAATAGATTTCAGAGTTTTCGTAATTACTTAGCAATTTTAAAATACCTTATCGAAATCGGCGATTAATTAACGATTTTTCGCTCTGATGGATCGTCAATTTTGAAAATATCCTTTTTCGTATCATAATCGCGATATAATCCGATTTAATCACTGATTTCTTTAGCCCATCCAATTAATCATGATTTTACGCTGATATTTTTAAAAATCGGCAAAATCGCTACGATTTTCATGACATGGGTTATTTTCCGATTTTGTTGTTCATGGATGAGCTCTGTCTACCCTGAAAAAGATGATTCTTTTGCAATGAGGTTGACTTATTATCAGAAGAACCACATGATGCTGTGTTCCGAAAAAAATCTAGTATGAGAAGGATAATAGAATCTGCTATTTAACCTCTTGGAGCCCGCTGTCTTCAGACTGAAGACAAGCAGGACTGGCGAAATCGACGAAGGTTAACAAATGAAAATGATTGGTTGGAACTTTTACAGAAAATCAAACGAATTTTTCTGCTTCGGAAGATGCCAAAACTGCCTGGTGCTCCTCCAGCATTCTGAAGATATTAACAAAAATGTAACACAGATGGCGCTAGTTTCACAATATTTTGGAACTAGATTAAGGAATATCTCGAGAATGCTGGAGGAACACCGGACAGTTTTGGCATTTTCCGAAGCAGAAAAATTCGTTTGATTTTCTGTAAAAGTTCCAACCAATCATTTTCATTTGTCAAACTTGGTCGATTTCGCCAGTCCTGCTTGTCTTCAGTCTGAAGACAGCGGGATTCAAGAGGTTAATACACTATGAAATGTTCGCCAAAGCTGTTCCGATAATCCACAGCAGTCTACTGTTGAAGAGAGAAGCATAAGCGCTACGGAAAAAGTTATTAGGTAAATGATTTTCATTCAGAGTCGATTTGTGGACCAATCGTTTCCCATCCTTTTCACACATAGATAGCCGTAACTTGTGCTTAGGTGTGAGCCATATCACCAGTGTATTTCACTGTCACATGCGATCGACAAAAACCACAACAGTTAGATAATATAGAAGAAAGATAGGAACGAGTGAGCTCGGTCACTTTTAAGATATAACATAGTTGTACAGAGTGCAATTGTACTTGAACATTTCTAATCGGATTCTTACAGAAAACTGAAAAAATAACAGATAGAAAGAGAACGAAACTCGGCAAAATAGAGGTGAATTGTCTTATTTGACCAGATAATGCTGAAGGCTTCTATTGCTTCGATAGAGAATATACAATATGGCTACCAACAGAGGACAAAAATTTATTCTTAATCGGCAATATTTTCGAACAACACAGAAATATTGTTCATTTCAATGATGATGATTTGAAAAAAATACATGAAGATCTTTCTAGCAATGATTTGTACAGCCCTTTCACATTCGCACGTCCGTCAACGCTGTCCAAGCACAACAGTATGCAGTTTGTACTACTTAATCAACCACGACGTATCGTTTATATGATTAGTCCTGCCAAGAATAGTGAAGATTATTTCACTGCATACGATCCGTTGGATTCAAAAAAAGAAAATTTTAGAAAGGATGACGTGGCGCCCGATAATATTTTACGCGAATATTCTTATATACCTGTACGTGATAATGCTTTGGATGTACGTCCCATTGAGCAGCTAACTCTTATTCTATTCGACGTTAGTGGTTCGATGCAAAATAAAACGATGAACAATTCTAAAAGTCTTCTTGATTTGAGCATTGGCGCATTAGGTGCGTGGTGTGACAAGTTCTGCTCATATCGATTACCACATGCTATAGGCCTTATTTACTGTGGTGCTAAAATAACTCCAACAACTCAACTTATCTACGAAGCCTGTCCGATTACGAATAATTTTGTTGATGTTGAAAAATCGTTTAGTTCTCGACCGGATTGTGGTTCGTCAACTCCATTGTATGATGCAATAGAAGTTGCCTTGAAGATAATGAATCGGTTTTATGAAGAGCACAGAAGCAAGATGAGTCCCAATTATCACAAGCTCATTGTTTGTCTTTCCGATGGCGAAGATACATGTAGTAAAATGACGTTACCAAGAGTTGCCAACATACTTCAACAAGATAATGTCATTTTTGACAGTATTTGCTTCAAAAGCAAACAGGCAGAATCTCTCGTCCATCTATGTACGTCGTCAAGAGGATATTATTATTTTCCAATACCTCATGTAGAAAAGGATTTAATCAGTTTGTTTGAACGGGAACCAGCGATGGTTGTGAAGATTCGCGATGAAAATGTTTATGGAGTTGTTGAAAAGCCAACATTACGCGAACCAAAAGCTCTCCATGTTCCAGCAGTCAGTTTGGTTGAAGCTCCTGTAAAGGACATAGCAGTATCGAATCAAACTTTGAGTCGAGTTTTACGCGAAGCAAATAATTTGAAGCAAAAATCGCTAGAAAACTTTACTATCTTTGTCTGTAAAGACAACGTCCTGTTTTGGAAACTAATCATGAAAGGTCCGATAGGCACCAGCTATTGTGGTTATACATGGCTCTTGTCTGTCGAGTTTCCACCACAAACTTATCCCTCACGACCACCCGAAATTCGATTCATTACACCAATTTATCATTGTAATATCAGTGACGATGGAAAAATCTGTCATGAAATCTTACGCAGTCACTGGACATCACAAACAACTATGTACGATGTACTCAAGCAAATCATTAGTCTGCTTTTCCAACCAGAACCCAATGATGCATTATCAACAGCTAAGGGTAATCTTTTAAAAACAGCACCGGAAGATTATCTCAAGGAACTACAGCAATACAACGAAAACTATGCTAAAACAACTGTAGAGGAGCTCAAAAAACAATATCAACTTGAACAATTCACATCTGATTTTTGTGATTGATTAAACATTTATTGTACCACATAGTCAAGAAAATCTTTCTAATATATTAATGGATCTTTTTTGTCTACGTTTATGAAAAACCGTACTTTCTAGCTGTTAAATTCTTTATGCATAAAATTGATTTAGTTAATAATGGCTAAACAAGAAAAGTTAGTAAGTCTCGAATCATTTTAGAATGTATATTTCCTTCATTTAATATTTACTCGGTAAAGTATCCATACAAAAATTATCTAGAAGCTTTATTTGACAGATATCAAATGCCTAGTTGCCAATCTTTTGCAAACCCATATCTACGCTTTCAATTAAAAATTGGAAAAAATATGAATAGAATTTGTTTTTTACAAACCACAATTGCCCTTTGTCAAAAGCCGACATTCAATAAATACTTTGGCTTCGTTAAGAGAATGAAAAACAACATCTTTATGTTGCACCAAGATCATGCTAGTTTTTACCTAAAAATTGTCTGTAGTGACATCACGTTTTGAGATTCCCAGAGCTAATAATCGATATCGAAAACTGTTGACTTAAGCTTTTTTGGAACTTAAAGGATGCCCGATAATGAATGACCGCGTTTTGTATTTTATTTTTTCATCATCTCATATGTTTTAATAAAAAACAAAATACACCACAAGATACAGCGTGAAAAGATCTACAATTTACATAGTAAAGTTGATTGTAATTATTTTCAAAAGAAGTAAAATTCTGTGTGACTAATTTTCTCACTGTCGAAATTTGGTCGCTAAAAATTTGGCCCATTTTGAGAACAAAAAGTGCAACTATAAAATAATTGGTCAATGGAAATTGTAGAACTTTTCACATTGCATCTTGTGATATATTTTTTTTAAACGTATTAGATGATGAAAAAATAAAATACAAACCGCGGCCATTCGTTATGGAGCATCCATTATTTGTTGAACAAAAGTCGTAAAGAAAGGAAGTTATTAATTTTTATTGAGTTACTCAACTATCACTTGTATCATTGAATTAATCAAACTGAGGAATGCAAAAAGGCTATATAGGAATTACTCTTGTGTTATATGAAAATATCTTTCCAGTACGACCTTGACTTTCATAATGCCTTCAAACAAGTTTGTCAGAAGGGGCTCATCTGTATCAAATAAAAATCTCGAACTTTCAATCTTTTGATCATGTCTAATCTATTTTGTAGATGATCAACGTTCCTGTATGTGTTCTCTGCCATCCAGAGACTGATCAATCCTTGTACATATGTGATGATTGCAAACACATTGCAGGAGATACAAAACGTAAAAGGTTTTTCGATAAAAGTCTTATTGCTCTTCAACAGAAAGCAGAAAGACTATGGAAAACCAATCAGGATTTAGATGCTTTGAGGGTTACATGTCAGTTTTTGGACAGATATGTCTCCGAAATAGGATTGGTGTTCACCCCTACCAATAACTTCATTGATGGATATCGTAAAGACGAAACTGCCGAAAGTCACATGAAAGACCAAGCAAGATTCAGAGGACTCGTCCCGATAAAAAGTGAGGATGATGGCAACTGCTTATTTAATTCGATTAAAATTCTTGGGAAAATCGTTAAAATATCAGTATCTGAACTACGTGTCCGTTCTCTGCTCGAAATTGTCATCAACTACAATAAATATATTAAATACTATTCCCATCTGAAACTACAAAGTGGGGCTGATAATATACTACAATATTGCAGCGAAGCAAGAATGAAGCAATATTCTCAGATATGGGATGTACTTGGTCTGTGTGATGCATTGAAATGCAGAATTAATCTGATGCATTTTGAAGAAATTCCTCCACTTCCATTACAAAATTCGACCTATGATCCAATCAAGAACACAGAGGACACCATAAATGAAATAACAATATTATGGACCTATGCATCTCGCAAAGAGCAACGACAGGATTCTAATAAACGATGCTATGCCAACCATTTTGTTCCTTTAGTCAGGTATACTATAAAATATTTGAAAGATCTTATTCATGCTATTACTAGCCCTCTTTAATGACCTCTCTCTTTTGTGTTTTGTTTAGAGTGTCAGAAGAATCTTTAGACATTACAGGTAACGTCACGCTTCTAAGTTTTTATCCTATTTTAGAAAAGTTTAGCTTCACATTGCCATCATGATTATTATTTGAATAGCCAAAACCATCAGGAAAGATCTGTCATTTGAAATACTGCCTTTGGCTTTATTCCTTGGTGATTGACTAATTACATCCATACATGTTACACTTTCATGTACGCACAATTTGAGAATGAGATGGAGTAAATATCCCTAATAACAACACTAAAAAGTTAACGTGTCTTAGTTGATTCGGTTCACAACTATTTTACATTCGATTGAAAATATTTTTACATCGCATAATCCTGAAAGTGCGCTCTTTCGAATAGTGTATCAACCACCTTTCGCTGAAATGTAGTACTAAAGAAATCAGCGGTCTACGATAATGACCTGCTTCTGTTGGTATTAGGGCCCATTTCTCTAATAACGACAGTAAGCTAAATTTTAGCCCTAATAACAACACTCTAACAAAATTCAAGCAAAAAGGTACTGTTTGAGAAAAAAAGAAGATTTTTCACGATTTTAATTAGAAAAACAAGCTAAGACCTCGCTGGTATTTTTGTAGAACCTGCCGAATTCTATATAAGTCCAAAAGTTCGTGAGACAAAAATTTCGATTTGTTGAGATACAAAACTTGAAGATAAGACATCCAGAATTGATGAAATAAAAGTGATCCTAACAACAACAGCAAGCTATTTTTGGACCCCAATACAACACAGCTAAATTTTGGCCTTAATCATGATGCCCAGTTATTCATTCATCCAAAAGTGTGGGGTGTGGACAAGGGAAAAAAAGCAGACTTTTGGACTTGAAGTTACTTTGAGCTACTTGAAGCTACTTCGAGCTACTTCAAACGGCATACTTCGAAGTACTTTTCGACTTCAAATTTACTTGAAGTTACTCAAAAGTACTTCATCTACTTGTGTTTACTTTGGACTACTTGAGTGGTACTTTGAGCTACTTCAAGTGTGCTTTTTCTACCTAGGGTGTGGGTATATTTCTTGTCTTCATTCGCATCCACACCCAATTTTCGTGGAACTGTATTATTCGTATCGTTATCAAACTATAGTTCCTATAGATCAATCAGCATTAAGAATGGCTGACGGATGGATAGAAACCAAGAGTATATCAAACCAATGTGATACTTCATTGCTTGTAATCTATGTGACTGTAGGATCAGAGCATTGACTTACAAATTATGGAAACTTTTGGACACAGATCAAAGTTATATAAATCCAAAAAGAATAAACGACTTATTGGCACACTTAATGCTCTAGATTCATGTTTATGTGATTGTTGTTTAGTATCTTCTTAATTGTTGAATAACATTAGCATACCCCATGATTCAAGATAGAAGATTACACAGAAGGTAGTTTCTGACATTGTGAAACCGCCAAAAATGGATTAGTCTGCTTTCTCATAAGTACTTATCACATTCGAATGTCATCACATACATATAACTCGTTTTGTTGACCCTTTATTCCCAGTCATATGTGCCGTCGTATAAGCACAAGTTATTATTAAAACGCCTGCAGAAAATATGAGAGGAGGTTGATACAGTAGATGTTTTGATGCGAAACAAGAAGATGTTGGAGAAACGCAAAAATAAAAATTTTGCACTTAGAATATTCAAAAAAAACAAGAAAAGTCAGATGCTATATATATTTCATCTAAAAAAATACAACAATTTCTTCAAATCTCGCTAGAATTGATGAAAATACAGACTGATGAAAGAAAAACAAAGCGAGTATCTCGGTATTCTGTTGTTAGCAAAAATGGCACTAGTTGATGTATGCTTAAGAGAGGGTCCGCGAGAGGACCACCCTAGGTCGCCGGAGAAAAAATTTTTTTTTTCGATTTTATTTTCTTAAATGATAGGCCTAGATGATCTATAGTCAAATCCAAAATATTAGGTCATTTGGTTTTACCTATGAAAAATCCGAGCTAAAACAAGTGTGAGGGGGTCAATTTTGACCCTAAAAATCCGGTAAAAATGGGTATGCTCAGTATTTGGACATTTTCTCATCAATGCTTTGACCGTTTGAGATCGGGCACATCTCATTAGATAGGGAACAGTATAGGCTACAAATTTATCCTATTTTGATGAATCATATCTAGGATAAAAGAAACGCTATAGATCAAAAACCTTCAAAATTTCAAGAAATCCTACACTCTGAGATAGCAGTATTTTGGGCTTTTCTTGAGTGGTGCAAGCGGACCCAAACTTCTTTTTTTACCAGACATAGATCTTGTCAAGATACATCTTTTGACATTAAATTGTCAAGACAAAAAAACTCGGGGGTCAAGTTAGTATGGACCACACTGTGGCCTGTCCTACCTAGTCAGCATTGATCCTACCCCACAAAGTCATACAATTTCTACAGAAATCACAAAAATAGACTTCAGATTCGTGTTCAGCTTGAAAAATTGACTTAGATAGGATATTTTAAATTGGTTGCTTTCTTGTATCAAGTGTGTTCAAGATCATGGGTCCATTCCATGGATCTATGATAGATATATGCCACAGTGTTTTGATAATAATTCACCAATATTAATAGCTATCCAGTTCGGATTTTTACCATTCGATAGCTCTTTGCAAAAGCTAAATAACTATATATTTTCCAAGCTCAAAACGCTTGATCACCTGAGCCATACCGAGAGACATTGGTCTT